AATGTGCGTGTGAATCAGCCGCCCAACAGTAAGAATATTTTTTAAATAAGATATGACACTCTTCTTGAATTATTAATTTATTTATTTTGATATATGCATCTATAATGATAACTAACAGCGCATAACCTATGAAAATGTTGTAGAGTCAAACGGTAAAACTTCATATCTTCTCCAACTGTAGTGCGAATTAATCAAAATAAGCCTAGATCAGTATCATGAAGGCAGTTGCACAGCTTATGAAGTTATCCAGCTAATATCCGACTGGGCTGCGTTTTTGTGGAACTTATCGCAGCAGTGTGTGCCAAAGTTAGAGCTGGCAACACCGTACGGGTACCAACTGACTCGAGAAAAGTGATACACGGAGTCCAATGTACCAAAAATGGTATCAAAATATACATTTGGATGCCGATTGAAGCACGTTATGTATCGGAACCAATTTGACCACGATGTGAAACAGTCTATACACCAAATATACTCTAGGAGTCCATTTACCAAGAACTCTTTACGGATGCCACTATCGGCAAAATCCGCAAAAAGTGGATTCGAGCAGAAAACAGGATAGGTAACCCGAGCGATACGTATTTCTGCTGGTTGGCTTCATCAGGCCCGAAATGAATGCACATATGCAACTGATGTGTAACCTGAGGAAACGAAGATGGAGAGGGAACAAAATCGATACACGAAGTCCACAACAAGAGCCAACCTACACACTGTAGTATAAAATGGCTAGAAGACCTCGAATTTTCAAGGAGACATCTAACCACAACCACGCGGTCGGTTATAGCCACTTGCTGTGGTACTTCAAGCCCAAAGGATCTACAAAGAATAAAATACCATGCGGAGAAAGGTATATAACAAAAAGTAGGAAAATAATGGGTAAAATCCGCAAAAAGAAGGGAAGTGGATTCGAGCAGAAAATAGGATAGGTAACCCGAGCGATACGTATTTCTGCTGGTTGGCTTCATCAGGCCCGAAATGAATGCACATATCCAACTAGAAAAGTAGATACACATGCCCACACATCCGGATACGGGTGTAACCTGAGCCAATCCACTTTTCTCCTTTTGGCGGATTTTGCCCATTATTTTCTTACTTGTTATTTTTTTTTATACTCCAACTACCACGAAGGCCTAAACACCCATTGGGTACCGTGGGGCTATAGGGGGATACAGGGGAAAGGGGAAACGCCACACTGACTCTGGCGAGGGAACACATGTGCATGCAACATGCACACATTCTGGCTCCGCCTACGAGATCCGCCGGGCGGTACCTCCGCGTTCGACAGTCAGAGACCGTCTACCACCTACGGACAATCACAACATCCATAGCCAAGAGAAAAATTTCTTATTGGAACGGGATTTGAACCCGCACAGCGCACGGCGACTGATCAGGAGACCGAAGAGTCTACTACTGCGGCCACCGCTGCTGCCTATTATATACCTTACTCCGCATGATCATTTTGTCTTTGTAGATCCTTTGGGCTTGAAGTACCACACCAAGTGGCTATAACCGGTCGCGTCGTTGCGGTTAGATGTCTCCTTGAAAATCCGAGGTCTTCTAGCCATTTTATACTACAATGTGAAGGTTGCCTCTTGTTGTGGACTTCGTGTGTCGATTTTTTTCCCTCTCCATCTTCGTTTCCTCAGGTTACACCTGTATCTGGATGTGTGGGCATGTGTATCTACTTTTGTAGTTGCATATATGCATTCATTTCGGGCCTGATGAAGCCAACCAGCAGAAATACGTATAGCTCGGGTTACCTATCCTATTTAAGTATTCTGTATTTGTCGAAAAAGATAACTTATCTGCCAATAACTTCTTCCCAAACATTCAAGCTCCATTTATTTTGGAAATCTATATGCAGCAATGGTTTTCCGCATAATAGTGCATTTTATGCCTGTTGACAACACATACTCGTATGCTGTTAAAAGTTGCCTCATCGCTAAAAAGAACCTTATCCAAGAAAGTAGTGTCTTCCTTCACTTTATTTAGCATTATTCTACTAAACTCCATTCGAGCTGTGAAATCCTGAAGACGAAGGCCTTGATGCAAGCATAGGTGATATAGATGGTACCTATGCTTGTGAATAATCCTTTGGACAGAGGTTTTGCATATATCAGTTTCTGCGCCAATTTGCCGTGCACTTGAATGGGGATTTTCCTGCAACTTTAAAAGTACCTCCAACTGATTCGCTTCATTGGTGACACTTGGATTATTTATAAATTTTTTATTATATTCCACTGCTCCACTTATTCAAAACGTTCTCGTGGTGTGGAAAATATTTCCGGCCTTCGATGTCGCATATTAGGGTACCGTTGCTTATAAATGCGAGATGCTAGGAAACTATTTCTTTGGGCGTCGCCCAAAACGAACACCATATTCACCATTTCTTCTTGAGAAAAATTCATTTTCAAACACATTTTTATTATAATGCTCACAAAGCTCATTTTGACAGTTTGTAACTAATCAACATTTTTTTTGTTTCCAAGGATGATGCGATATTTTAGGGAATCAAGCCGTTCCATAAAAGACGTGCTAATAACCGAAAAAATAGCCTTAAAAACCCATATGTGTCTAGTATCAAAAAAAAGCTTGTAAAAAATTGACTCCAAACTTGCACAAATATACAGGGTGATGCATTTGAAATTTTTGAGAAAAACTACAATTTGCGTTTTTGACCACACGGTATGAGCAAAAATTAAAATTAGAAAAAGTAACAAATAAGATAAAAGCTCATGTAAGTTTTTTGTGATACAAAATTTAGCACTCCAAATTTCAAAATGGCGGACTGAGGGGTTGCAGAAGTTTTTTCTAGACAAAACACCTTATATCTCAGTAGCTAATTACCAAAACCCCATAGTATGTTATATCAATTTTCTTCTGTTGAATTGGTTTATCCAAATGTGCAAAAAATTTGAGGCATCATTTGATATGTAGGTCGAAATTGGGACACCCAATACTTTAGAATTGTGCCGTCAAATGTCATGTATAAATAGATTTTCCCAAAATGTATTTGTTTAAGAGTAATATTCCGTCCACATATGGATGGGCCACCCTGTATATATATATACATATATATATATATATATATATATATATATATATATAACAAAAAGTAGGAAAATAATGGGCAAAATCCGCAAAAGGAAGAAAGCGGATTCGAGTAGAAAATAAGATAGATAACCAGAGCGATACGTATTTCTGCTGGTTGGCTTCATCAGGCCCGAAATGAATGCACATATGCAACTACAACAGTACGGAAGATGGAGAGGGAAAAATCGACACACGAAGTCCACTACAAGAGCCAACCTACACATTGTAGTATAAAATGGCTAGAAGACCTCGAATTTTCAAGGAGACATCTAATCACAACCACGCGGCCGGTTATAGCCACTTGCTGTGGTACTTCAAGCCCAAGGGATCTACAAAGAGAAAATGATCATGCGGAGAAAGGTGTATATCAAAATATAGGAAAATAATGTGCAAAATCCGCAAAAAGGAAGAAAGTGGATTCGAGCCAAAAATAGGATAGGTAACCCGAGCGATACGTATTTTGCTGGCTGGCTTCATCAGGCCCGTAACGAATGCACAAATGCAACTACAAAAGTAAATAAGCATGCCCACACATCCGGATACGGGTGTAACCTGAGGAAACGAAGATGGAGAGGGAAAAAAATCGACACACGAAGTCCACATGAAGAGCCAACCTACACATTGTAGTATAAAAGGGTTAGAAGACCTCGAATTTTCAAGGAGACATCTAACCACAACCTCGCGGCCGGTTAAAGCCTCTTGCTGTGGTACTTCAAGCCCAAAGGATCTACAAAGAGAAAATGATTCTGCGGAGAAAGGTAACCCGAGCGATACGTATTTCTGCTGGTTGGCTTCATCAGGCCCGTAACGAATGCACATATCCAACTAGAAAAGTAGATACACATGCCCACACATCCGGATACGGCTATAACCAACCGCGTCGTGATGGTTAGATGCGGCCTTGAAAATAGCCATTTTATACTACAATGAGTTGGTTGGCTCTTGTTGGGGACTTCGTGTGTCATATTTTTTTCCTTCACCTTCTTCGTTTCCACAGGTTACACCCGTATCCGGATGTATGGGCATGTGTATGTACCTTTGTAGTTGCATATGTGCATTCATTTCGGGCCTGATGAAGCCAACAAGCAGAAATCCGTATTGCTTGGATTACCTATCCTATTTTCTGCTCGAATCCACTTTCCTTGTTTTTGCGGATTTTGCCCATTATTTTCCTATTTTTTTTTTTTTGTTATAAACCTTTCTTCGCATGATAATTTTATCTTTGCAGATCCTTTGGGCTTAAAGTACCACAGCAAGTTACTATAACCGGCCGCGTGGTTATGGTTAGATGTCGCCTTGAAAAGGTCTTCTAGCCATTTTATACTACAATGTGTAGGTTGGCTCTTGTTGGGGACTTCGTGTGTCATATTTTTTCCCTTCTCCATCTTCGTTTCCTCAGGTTACACCCGATTTTGACCATTATTTTCCTATTGTGTTCTTATTTACCTTTCTCCGTATGATCATTTTCTCTTTATTATATAATATATATATATATATAAATAATAGCAATTAAATTAATAAATAAACTAATAAATAAATTGAAAAGTACATGATTGAAATATCACAGTTAATTTTATCCCAGAAGTACCACAGAATCCAACAGTTGCTGTTTCGGAGTTCTATTGGTTGGGCGCTCTGTATCATCATTCCGAACGGGTTGTGCCGACTGAGACAGAGTGGATTTAGTTGTTTTTCTAGGTCTGCCTTTTTTTCAGCCTCGTTTACCCTTTTTTGCTTCTGGATCGTGGGTCATCTACAGGAGAGATAGCTTTGCTTTTAGACGAGTTAGAAGCAACTGATTGGCTTCTGGTTCTAGACGCAATTCCATGGGATAACTTTGACATCGGAGTATTAACTGTCAATCGTTAATTATTATTATAATTATTATTAATTATTTTTTGTTCCAGATGTTGGTCTGATAACTTTAACTCAATACATTCTTCTTGATCCTTTATTGTTATGCTTCATGATGGGATCCATAACTGGAGCTGTGAAGCCTCTTCAGATAGAATACCAGAATTCTCACCTAAATGGTGGTTGTGGTTAATATTTACAGGTAAAAAACGATGTTAATCTCATTTATATGACTAAAGATAATTTTTGTTTTTTTAAAAGTAATATGAAAGATTTTTTAATGAAATTGTGTAGATGTTGAGATGAAAAGACGAGTTGTGTGTATGATACGAAATCTTTTATTTGAAAGATCCGTGAAAAGCATTTTTTAATATTAATGTAGTACCCGTCGTGGCTTCACACAATGGCACGGATTCAAGAGGTGCAACTTCCAATTGCCGCACATAGATCCATAAATTATAGCAGGATGGTGCTGTGTACTAAAAATCAAGCGTCATAATAATATTCTGCGTGAACCTATTGAGGGCAGAGGCATCTCTTGCAAAGGTGACAAGCTGGCGACCAAAATCCTACGACTCGATGGCATTAAATTCAAATTCTTTATTTAGGTATGTCACATTACATAAAATATGTTTACATAGGTCAATAGATCAAATGAGAATTGCATTAGAATTAAAACAAAGGGAGTGCTAATGATCAAAAAAAAAATTACAAACATAAGTACACCAGCAGTCATACAGATATAACGCTAACATACATGTACGATTTATAGTTAAAATGTATGTCTTAAAAACTCTTCAAACGTGTAAAATGAGTTATTAATAAGAATTTTCTTGATTTGAACTTTAAAGTCCTTATACGGAAGCGATTTTAAGCCGTCTGGAAGAACATTAAAAAATTTGACCGGTCCATCTTGACACCTCAGTCGCACATAAAGAGGTACTAGATTACGTAGTCATGCCATAAGTTCTGTCCCTCGTTTTCAAACAAGTGTAGACCTGTTAATACTTGTCCGATTGTTTACATTGTGGTGTCAGTTGATTAAGCGCTTTTCGGGTAATTACATATACCTCAGTTTGTATTGATCTCTCGAAGCATAACGATGGAGTGGGGCAAGGCAGAGAACCGTATTGCAGTGATAGCTTTACATAAATGTAATCACAGTGCTAGTCAGATTTTTGAACTTTTACGCGGCCTTCAAATATCGCGTAAATTTGTGTCTAGGACCATTCAGCGGTACAATGAGACGTCCTCTGTTGATGACAGGCCAAGAAGCGGAAGACCTCGTCAAGTAAGAACTCCAGCAGCCATCAAAGCCGTAAAAGCCAGGATTCAAAGGAATCCACTCCGGAAGCAGAAGATCCTATCCAGGGAAATGAAGATTCCTGTCCGGACGATGTCGCGCATCATTAAACAAGACCTAGGGCTAGGGGCTTACCGGAGACGTACGGGCCAGCGACTTACGGCCACCTTGCGACACATCAGGGCGACAAGATCCAAGAAGCTCTTGGAGAGGTACGCAGCTGGGGGATTCCGAAAGATTTTGTTCACGGATGAGAAAATCTTCACCATAGAAGAAAAATTCAACCGACAAATGACAAAGTGTATCCAAGGAGTTCACGGAAGCTTCGGAGATCATTCCGAGAGTTGAGAGAGGCCACCACCCTGGCCCTCAGGGAGTCCGGACCTCAATCCTTAGACTACAAGTTGTGGGACCTGCTAGAGCAGTTGGCCTGCTCCAAAGTTCACCGTAATATCGAGTCCCTGAAAGCGGATTTGATCCGATCAGCGGCAGCTATTCCTTTGGAAGCTGTGCGTGCAGTGATAGATGAGTGGCCCGCGAGATTGAAGCAGTGTGTGAAGGCCAAGGGGGGACATTTTGAATAAAACTGTTTGATTATGAATTCTAAAAATGTTGTCGAATAAATAATATCTTTCATATAAATATATCTTATCTTGTTTCATTTTTATCATGAGATTATTATGGGACAGAACTTATGGCACGACTACGTATTCTTATGTCTAATATTGTGCTCATGAGTAACATAGAGTTTCTTTTAACAAACAGCAGATTTTCAAAAATATATAAACAAAGCACAGTAAGTATTCCCAACTTGAAAAAAGGTATCTCTGCAATCGTTCCTGTAGGTATTTTTAGAGTCGCAGTCACTAAAGGACTTATTCCATACACATCGCCATACATCAGCCTATCAATTAAAGAAGGAATTTCTAGACTAGGGAAACAGACCTAGCCAAGGGCGGATTCAGGATTTCGTCTAGTGGGGGGGGGGGGCAAACGACATTTGGGGCTGGTCATTTTTTAACCTCAGTGGAACTTCTAGAATTTATCCAATTATTGCTCCTTAAATCCATTGTGTCCTATCTGGTCAAGGCCAGCTTGAAGAAAAACATGGAAATTGCTCAGAAATCCTCAGGAAGCCAATATTTTATTATATGAGAACAAAATAAGTATGTGGCACTTATAATTAACTAGTGTAATAATATTAAAGATTCAAATATAAAAAACTTCATTGCTCTGTTAACCGACAAAAAATAAATAAAACATTCTGAGGGACCCCGAGACATATCCCAGTCCATTCCACATAAAACAATGTCTTTGATTGCGAAAACGAACATGATACTAAAAAATTCACATTATCGTATGGGCGCTAGACAAGACAAAGAAGGATGTCTGTAGACCATCTATAGATCGTGTCTTGAGACCGTCTCCAGACTGCCTATAGATAAATTGCGCAACGGGGTCTACTAGTATGTAGTAAGCTTAAGGATTAAGACTCTGAACTGCCCATTAAACAAATCAAGTAAGTGGTGCAAATACTGACACAGTCAAGCACTTCTATTGTATCAGCAGTATGAGGCATGTATTCCTCCATTCCGACGTGGATAATTTCGGTAATCGAAGAACAGACAGCCGACGCATCCGCGTCAGTGAAACAGACATTTCACCAAGGAAAGGTAGAAACGAAGTCTCTGAGCCCTTCCCAGTCGGCATGTCCGTAATGCCAAATTTTGCGGCATGTGCGAGTTTCTGCTGAAACAGCGGGTTCTGACCGAAACCTAACCTCCACAACACAGTGGTCTGAGTTACCCAGGGGAGACAGGACAGCAGAACTGTGAGCGACAGGATGCGTAGTCAGAAAGAGATCCAGCAGGATACTGGCATGTGACGAGACGCGGGGAAAAAAAATTAGGGCCCGTCACAAGCTGGGTCAGCCCTTGAGTGAGCCAACGCTTTAATTGCACGACCTGCTGCATCGGTCTTGTTTGAGCCCAACCAAAGCAAATTATGGTAATTGAAATCACCGAGGAGAACTACCTCTGAAGCGGAGTGACTGATGTTCAGAAAGTCGACCTTGACGGCGAGGTATTCAAGAAGGTCATCCCAGTCATGGTCCGAGGGGAGCGATAAAGGCAGCAAATAAATTTGGGGGATGTTTTGGAGTTGAGAGTGTCTTTCCGGTCTGATTCCAGAGAAACATCTCTGCAGCAGGAAAGACCGCTGCGGACAAAGGCCACAACTCCCCCGTTCTTTCTCAGATTGGAGTGCTCCTCGTAATTTGGTAAGCTAAGATGGTTAATCGGTGCAGACTCCGATATTTTTGTCTCCGCCAAGAAAAGTATGGCGGGACTATTGGATTGCAAGTAGTGATGAACAGCATCAATGTCGCTGTTAATCCCGCAGATGTTCGTGAAACAAATTTTATCTTCGATGTTGTTCCCTCGAGTCCAGCCTCCAACCGGACATTCTGAGAGTGGAGTGAGATTACATCAGGAATTCTTAGTACTCGAGGGATCCATCATCATTAATTTCTTTGTTTTGGAAGATAACCGACCGCATAGCTTAGGTGTGGAAACATGCGGACATTTATAAGATACCCTGGGAAAAGCTATAGGGTGGTAACCGCCTCGGTCGACTGGTCGTTTTACTTGTACCGCCACCCGGCAATCGGCACTGAGGTATCCTTAACGCGTGTACAATCACTTGTACGGGAAGAAGTTGTATGCTGGATACAACTTCCGGAACAAGCATTTGCCACGGCCCGGCTCAGTAGGGGTTGGGGTTTTTGAAATTCAATATAGATGTTACAGTTATTGTTCAGACTTTCGTTGTCGAACTTAGATTTACGGCATAGTTGTTTTCTCAGTTTTCGAACCGGTGTTGATTGCATGTAGAAATGTTGGAAATCCTTGGAAAAAACTATATCCGTTAGATCGTAATTATTTTGATAATGTATGTTTGTACTAAACAAGTACAGGAATACAGAGCTGTACATATTCACGTATAGTGCAGCATCTCTGTGATTTAAACGAATTCAGTATAGCAACATAAATAGACACATATGCGAGAAGAGATGCGGGATGTGTGGTATTGATTTTGAGCATCGATCGACGCAGTTTCTAGACATGCCACAGGCGCACCGCTAAACAAATCTCATAAATGCCTATTTCCAATTTAGGCATTCATGTAACATAGTGCTTCGCAGCAACACCAACCCCGAACAAAATCAGTCCAGCTTTACACACTTTTCAAATTACTATTGAGCAACAAACAGAACATAAATCACTTTTTAAGTGCAATCTGTATAGCTAATATATTACCCAGACTTATATTTGTCACAAGTCACAATACTCGTATATACGTATAAATCGTTGTGCTGAAAACAAGTGACAGCATCTGGAATACCAAAGGATACCAAAAAATCATAATGCTCAGTTCCTATAGCTATAACTTATGGTTAGTATGCCTCTGTCACCATGATATCACAGAAAGTAACAAGTGGTATTGGATTGCAAATGCCAGACGTCTAGGGGGGGCGCGCCCCCCCCCCCCCTCTAAATCCTCCAGTGGACCTAGCTTGGGACGGTTGCAGAGACACCAAACCATTATGTCGTTTCACATGCCATAGATATATAGTACTAAAATGTATACGAAATCCGCAAAAAATTTGATGAGGTTTTTAAGTTTTTAGCAGCTATATATCAAAAAATGTACTTTTTCATATTTTCCATATATATTAAAGACTTAACTCCCAAATTAGCCAGATTATGTAACTTTAAATTGTCGCATTGCTTGCAAATCAGTACTCGCTGTTAATAGTGATGACAGATAGAGTTCCGCTGCTTAGTTTAGCCAACATTGTCTACTCCATTGATTTTAATAATTGTAATTTAGTGTACAGAGGCTAAACCTCTCGATCCCGAAAAGGCAGAATTACCTCACACAAAAGTGACTCCGGATTGTAACCGGAAAGATGTGCTTTGGTGTCACATGTCAATACCACGAGTCCTTCTATGAGTTATGGCAGAGTTAAGGTCCTTGACAGAGATGAACACCTTTCTAAATGTTTGTTCCTTGAAATGTCTTACAGTTTTATGACAGATCGTTGTATGAATAAAAAAGGCTGATGTTAAGCAGCTTAGTATCGTTTATTCATACTTCTTGAGCTGCGAAAGGCAGGAACGATCACATATCTCTCCCAATACCAATTTTTCAGAATAATAAATACAATTTTTCAATAAATATAATCAAAATCATTCCTAATTCTTCCCCCTTTTTTTCTCCAATTTTGGGTTTTTTGACATTAAG